GCAACCAAAGAACTACGTTCTCATCAAATACCCTACACTCCTCACCACTAAGGTCCCCGGTATCCCAAGGAGATCCAGAACTTAGGCGAGATAACTTCCCGGAGAAATCTTCAATGGCAAGTTGTCCAATAATTCCACCGATCACTCCGCGCGAAGCCCAATCAAGGACTTGCTGAAACACTGGCTCCAGCAGGAGGTCACAACCGAACTTACGTCCTATCTCAACCGACCTACCGAAACCCCTTAAGCGAGGCCCTTCAGCAAAGAATCTCAGCAGAACCTGGCCAGGACTTGCCTTCGCAATACTCCTGCGCAACCGCCTATTCCAAGGGGTACAACCAGGATCAAAGTTCTCTTCGCTGACAACTGGGACGCTAAACTCACTAAGGTACTTCTCTGGCAGTCCTGGACAAATGGCTCTAGCAACAGCCTGCTGATCCAGCTGATCCACGCAACCCTTCGCAGCAATCTTATCGCGCAGCCATCTACGAACCCCAAGCTCCTGTATCCCACTAAGATCCTCAGACAGCACAAGACCCTTCTTCAGTTTAATCCCTGCGCACTTCCTCTCATACTGTTCCAGAAGACGCAAACCGAGCTCTCTTGGGATCAAGGGACACCCCTTATGAACAGTAACATCAAGCGAACCATCCTTCGGATGCCTCACCTTGCACCCCTTCTTACCCCACGTAACCTTGTAGCCTAGCTCAATCAAATACCCGGCGGGAATAATTACTTGAGACGGTCCTTCTGTCAGCAACGTACCGTAGGCATTGATGTGAAGCTGAGTGACACCGGAAGCTAAATCGACAGTGATGGCCCTAGCATCTCCAAGCTCTGCATCATCAACGACAGGCCTAAGGCCATTGGTAGCTCCGGAATCTATCAGTGCCCACTGCTGATCTGAGGCGGACTGAATGACACTCTGCAGCCAAGCTTGGTTAATTCCACACTCCTTCAAGGATACAGGATCTCCAATCCGAATAGCCTTCAAAGAGACCCCCTTCAAAAGTCTAGTGGCCTCGGCAACCAACTCATCCTTCAAGGAGGCACTCGCAACAGATCCACCGGAAACACCAGTAGATCCTTGATCTGCAGATGCAGTGTCCTCTGACACACCCTTCACCTGGGCACCTGACTTCGCCTTGGCCTTAGCCTTAGGTCTACCCCCGGACTTAGCCTCAGGTGACCCATCGGAATCCTGAGATACTACCTGCCTATGTTCAGGGGGTACTAACGGACAGTCGGGTCTATAGTGGTTAGCCTGACCACAAGCTAAGCACCTGCCCTGTTTCCTAGCAGTAGCCCGGTCATGCTTGAAAGAACACGAATCCCCAAACCTGCAACCCGTGGCGTCTGAGAATTTAAAGCAGAGGGTCTCCCCAGCTCCACCCCCTTTATCCTTTCCAACCCCAGGTTTACCCTTTCCTTTCCCTTTGGGCTTGTCACCACCATCCCCAGCCTGAACCGCTGCAACAGAAGGTGCGGGAGGAGGAGGTGGTACAGGTGGGGCCTTACTAGGGGCAGGTTGAGGCTGATCCCTCCCAGTATTCACAGCTGAGTTCCTAGGTCTCTTTTCTGCACCAGCCTCCGATACCAAAGACGCAGCTTCACATTCCGAAAGGATCAATCTTACAAGCTGGACGATTCCATCAACAGTCGGCAGATAATCCAAAGCAGTCCTATGCCTAAACGCGCTTATCCTAAAGTTGATCATGGGACTTTGCGAAAGCAGAGCACCTGTAGCATTGTCTATTCCCTTAATCAAGAGTGAAGGATCAGGAAGTGCGGCTTGCACCTCCTTGGCTCGCTGCAAGTTCTGAGTCCATCGTCTAAGACTGACTATTGCTTCCTTATGGGTTTTACTCACATCAGGGGAGACCAACTGACTAAGTAGGTGAGCGCGTTCACTTGCACCTCCAGGTTGGTACAAGCATAAAACTCTGAACAACACAGAGGCGCTTGTAAGCCACCTATTTGTAATCAAGTCCTCCTTTATTCCCTGAGGGATAGCAGCCAAGAGCAAAGATACCGCCCTAGATTCCACCCTCTGAAACCTGTACGCATCAAAGTCTGTAGCCACCCCACCCGGATCCAAAGCCAGCCGCCCCAGTGGGTCAGCAACTAACCACTGGTTGTAGTGACGCATAGCCGCGCGCTCGACGCTAGAGAACCACTCCGGGGCCCCAGGACTCATACCATTGAAAATCTGTTTTACTTGGGCCCACCAGTTACCGCAGGTAACCGCAGATACCGAAAGATCAGCCTGCACAAGCTTAGGCAACGAATCCACGTACTTAGCAGGTTCCTCCGGACCACTAGCCCTACCAGCATAAAGCCCTGCCTGACCTGCACCACAACACGAGCCACCAACGGGATCGTACAACCCAGGCTGCAGTACCGGACCTGTCACTCCAATACCCCTGACAGCTGGATCATGAGCACCAGATTGAGGAACTGGTCCCAAACACCCATATCCCCTCCCGGGCAACGGCGGTGGTCTGATGACAGTACCTCCTGGGGATATCGGGTAACCATCCTTATCATAACCTGTCCTAGAACCCTGGGTACCCGACCTAGGAGTGTGATAACCGGAATCCTCTATCAAGCCCGTAATCCCTTGACCCGCAGTAGCAGCCGATGTGAACTGTCTCATAGATTGAGCTCCCCTACCCGCGCCCCTCAAAGGACCCTGTTCATCCCCAAGCCCTTGATCTGCCAACGGGAGCAATGGAGGAGGCGGGGGTGGAACATTAAACGACGACGAAGCCGCTACAAAGCCAGGCTGACCATCAAACTCAGACCCTTTCCAAAGACCTTGGCCTGCATGTCCCTTTGACCCTTGCTGCTCTACCAGCCGCCCAGCATCCGGTGACTGCTGCGGAACATAAGACCCACTACCTGCACTAACACCCTTACCGGTAATAGCAATTCCTTCACAGGGACCCTGGAGATCACCAATCGCAAACTGTTGGATGGCCCTAAAGCCGCCCGTCTGTACAGATGCACTAGCTAACCGTCCACCAAAACCTGGCGGAGGAACAAGCGAGGCCGGTGAGCCTACAGGTCCGTCCTGCCCACTCGGAGCAATATTGCGCCAGTTGGACTGCACCTCAACCTGATCCAATCGCTGTCGAAGCATTCGATTCTCACTGATAACTTGCAATAACAGCTCTTCAACCCGGCTTGGTTGCGCATCCGACCCAGGAATCAATTCCCTGGGATCTTCCGGCAATGGCCTATCCCGAGATCCAACACTATGATCCTTCTCCGGAGAGCCCGTCGATAGCCCTGACCTAACAGTCCCAGCCACACCATCAAAGTTGACATCATCCTTACCAGAAGGCTTCAAGGCCTCCTCGGCACTGCCAAGCTTCTGCTCGGCAGACGTCTCTACTGGCTCTGCCGACTGCTCAATCCTGGCCACCCTTGGTGCACTCCGATTCACAGTAGTTGGAAACCCTGGATTTCCAACAATGGAAGCCACTCTGACTCCACCACCAGTCTCAAGTCCGGTTGCCCCAGAATATTCAGGTTCATCCAACCGTCCGGAACGACACGGATCCCCAAGTCCCCTTTCATCAAGATCAAGTCCCACTCGCCTGGCGTCATCGTCTAGCGTAAGGGGGCGTGATCTTTGCAGAGCTATTTCTGCCTGCGCACGTTCTGAATAGAAAGGATTGGTAGTTGGCCACGCCACCCCAGGATCTTGCCCACACCCTTGCTCAAGAGCTCCTGGAGAAGATTCCCCAGCACACGGCATAGACCCCGCTTGGCCCAAGGCTGCATAATCGGGTTCTAGAGGTCCTCCTACTTCAGGATCTCCAGAATTCAACGGACGTCTTTTACGAGTCAACGGGTCCATGGCTCAGCGACCCCACTGGTCACAAAGTCCACACTAGACTTAGCCAACGATAACCCAAAGCCCAGTAAGAAACCGCTACCTACGGCTGATAACCTACGTAAAGATAACCACAATGTTATAGGAACCAGATGCTTATCGGACACCTAAGACTTAAACCGGATCCACAAACGCGCCTTCGACTTTTTCTTGAACGAAAAACAGCCTCGGTATCCAAGAGCTTCCTTGCAGCAGGGGCCATGCTTCACGCATTTAGGGTTTAGGGGTCTAGGGGTTTAGGGGTTTTTTCTGACACTCACACTCGGACAAAGCCTGGCAAGGTCTGCAGCGATACTGAGGGATTTAGGGTTTAGGGTTTAGGGTGGGTTTTGGGTTTAGGGTGGGTTTAGGTTTTAGGGTTGCATTTAGGGCTCAAGGGATGAAGGGTGCAGGATTTTCTTCCCTCCTACTGTAGGGTTAAGCGCCAGCTTGTGGTGACAGGGTCGAAGAGGCATGGATGAAAGACTGTTTTGCGCTCTGCAACCTTTGGTCGATGGGGGCTTCCTTTCAAACTACCCGAAGCTTAAGTATTCGCCGCTTTGCGTTGGAAGTCAAGCTAGGGACGGCGATAAGAAAAGACGCAGACTGACGTGTCCGGGAAGCTGCGGGGTGGGATTCATAACACCTTCTGCCAGCCACTGAAGTGTCTCAGAAAGGTTTACGGGGTCCAACTAGATTTTCTCAGTGAGTTCCGATAGCCAAGATCCTGTCTGTTACCCAAGGCTTGGGAGGCAACTTCCGGCAGAGAAATGAATCTTTGCCGGGAGAGACCTCTGGCTGGCCTTTGGGTAGGATGCATAGACATGGGAGTTTCCGAAAATAGGGGTGCCTGATTTTGGGGTCCTTATTAGAAGGGTCCTATTATTTAGGTCACGATTTTAGGGTCCCCTATTTTCGGAAACTCCCACATCGAGGACATGAGCCAAGTTCGAACCTTTGCCGTCGCCCATGCTGCCCTGTCCGTTTCAGATCGACCCGAAGCCCAAAAAGCTCCAATCCCTGAGCTCCTAAACTCAAAACCCGCAACACCCACATGTTGATAAAACCTTATATGGCACCCTAAACTCCATAAGCCTTATAAGGTCTGCCCCCAAGGTTCCTCCACATCGCTGCTACCCTCCAGGGCGTCCGCCACTGCAGGCTCCGTCTGAGCATTTGCGCATGCATTTGGGTTTATGTAGGTTTAGGGTACTGGGTGTGTTGGGTTGTTTTGGTCTTTGGGTTGGATGTTGTGGGCGAGTCGAGATCTTTGCCAGGAATCCGGGCATGGGGTTGAGACCTGGAAACAGACTCTAGAAGGCCATGTGTTTGACCAGTTCGCTGTGGGCAGTCCAGTCAGTGCAGCGACAGCTCTTGAGGAACCACTGCAACTCCACGCCCTAGGCCCTAACCCTTACCTCTGCCACGGAGGCTGGGTAGGAGCGTCTCTCAAACTCATCGTCGTCAAGGTCCTGGGCCGTCGCACTACAGAATGTTGACCCCAACAACTCTCGTCTTCCCCGAAGGGGTGGTCGAAGCACCCGGCCGCAAAGGCCCCCCCCCGATGTTTCTGGGAGTATTTTTTGTTCTCTCTCTCTCTCTCTCTCTCTTCTGGGCTTGAGGGCCGGTCAAGGCCCCCGGGCTTCAAGCCCACCCGATGTTTTATCGGGGCGAGAGGTGTGACGAGCGAGTGTAGGCTTGGACATCGGCCAAAGCCATCAAGTGTACAATAACGAACCCGTCTAGGCGTACACTCTCATCGACACATGCACACTGAAGACACTCCCCGACAAATATTTTCAGAGCTTTAGCATACACTTATCTACAAAAAGCCTTAGCTCAAGGTTTGTCGAGGCAAGAGCGCTTAGCTTGTACTATTATTTGGTGGGAGCCCGAGACAGTTACTGATCCAAACAACAATAACATCATAACCTACAAGATAATACGAGACCATCACATGTTCCCCCGGGGCTCGACCCCTCGCATGGCTTCGCAGGCATGACATATCGGGTTTTTGCCAACCAAATACAGCATACAAAGGATGATACAACACTGCCGATTCACAACCTCACCAGGGACAAGCTTCTAACCCCACAGCACTAACGACACCACGTTTCCCCCGATGTCATATGTTCTCTCTCTCTCTCTCTCTCTCTCTCTCTGTCTCTCTCTCTCTCTCTCTGTGTATGTCTGTGTATGTACGTTTGCATGAATGCATGCATGCGTGTATGCTCAGCCCTACCCTACCCTCCCTTGTATCTCCACCCTGACATATCACCGAAATTCCGCCACCGAAATTTCTCAACATCAGTGTTCTGAAAGGCTTCCAGGGTTTCTGAGTTTTGGAGATATGGTAAGTAGAGGCTTCAGGATTGGTCGACCTCCTCGGCCAGTTCAGGTTTGGGGCACTAGACTTGCATGCCTTCAAGCATGCCCCTCTCAAAATCGCAGGATCAACATAAAAGTCCTCCAACAGTGCTCTTTAGGGTCACGAAACACAAGCCTGAGTGAAATTCGAAGCCTCACGCCAACCACCCACACAAACAGACTCAGCCAGTCACTCACTCACCCACTCACTCACTGAGTGACTCACTCACTCAGTGACTCACTCACTCATTCACTGCTCACATACTCACTCACTCACTCACACATGCACACACACACACACACTCGAACAGATTCTATCTGCGACGAAAGCCACGAATTCCTACACCCCTCAGACTGAAGTTTTACGGGGCAGGCTGTGCTTTTTTAGAGGTTGCAACATGCAACCAGCACTGGGCATGCTGTCGGTATTCGCATAGCGCGCTCCCTGGGTGATTAAAGGGCAGCCCAAAACAACCATTATGATTTGGTGCCTCTACATGGACCAACAAGGGAAATAAGTCTGCTGACTGAAACTCCCATACTGCATCCCTGTAGACCCTTTAAGGATCCCTTTAAAGGGAACCCTGGGTAACTGTTTAGGACCCCTGTATTAAAGCCATGTCGCCGAATCTGGTGGAAGGTCACCCAGCTTGGGGAAGTTACCTCGCCAAAACGCATGGGAATGTCATCGTTATGGCTCAGGCAGAGTCTCAAGGATACTACCCGAAGCCCCGATGCTGCAGCCCTAAACCTGGTATGTAGCAGCAGAAACCGAGAGGCAAGCCCTAAAACGTCAAAAAAAACTGCCAAAAAGCAGCCCCCGAAGCATACGTGTTAGGCTGGGGATCGAAGTACCGAGTCTCAAGAACCCAAAACTTCCAAAGTCGCTAAACTAAGGAATATACCTTCTTAAATCAAACAAGAATAAGGGTCCTACTATAGCTTAATGTAAATTCCTCGGTTAAGGAATATACCTTACTTACTAGATCATGTACGATTAAGGGTCCTGCTTTAGCTTATATATAGGAATCTTGAACCATTTAAGAATTTACGGGCCCCCCGAAAGCTTAATGTATAGGAATATTCATTCTAAAGCACATCACTGAAAAATCAAGAATTTACGGGTCCTCCTATAGCTTACTGTATAGGAATATACATCATAAACCACATCATTAAACCATTTAAGAATTCACGGGTCCTCCTAAAGGTGAATGTATAGGAACAAACATCATACACCACATCATTAAACAATCTAAGAATTTACGGGTCCTACTATAGCTTAATGTATAGGATTATACATCATAAACCACATCATTAAACCATTTGAGAACTTACGGGTCCGACCATAGCTTAATGTATAGGAATATCCGTCATGACAACATATCATTAATCATTAAAACATATCGTTACATCATTTAAGAATTTTTCCAGGATCCTACTATAGCTTAATGTATATTCCCTGGGTTCGGGGAGTTTGGAAGGTCTGGCAACCCCAAGTCCGAGATGTCGAAGCCGCAAAGGTCCGTCCTTTACAGCGGCCTTGATGATCTGAACAGGATTTACGGGTATCTTGATCGTGTGGTTCTTGATAAAGACTATAGCAAGGGGTACCATTGTATGATCATACAATTGCGTAAAGACTATAAGGGATATCATTAATTGTCGGAAGTTCGTCTGACCTCTATATTACAAACTCCTCGAAATCCTCTAAAGCCTAAACCCAAAAAACCCTTGGTACTACCCCCCAGAGCCTCTCAACCTTCAGATATCAGATTTAGGAATCTTTGTGGCAACTTTTTGGGAACAGTGAAAGGAGCCGTTGTTGGAAGCCTTGTCGGAACCATTGTTCGGCCCACATAGGAACCCTAGGCCTAGAGGAACCCTAGCCTTGGGCTTCCGGGTGCCAATACGACAAGCCATGCTGTCGGAGAAGGACGACTCAAATGACCCAGAAACTCCAAAACCCCGCGGTTAAGGAACATCCCTGAGACTGCGGTGGGAACCTAAGACATGATTCGAGGCGTATCCCTTAATTAAGGGGTTTTAGAGTCTCTGGGGGCCACTGCCAAGAGTAGTCATAACAGTACATGTTCACGGAAGACTGCCACAAGCAATGGAGATAGTATGTATACAGCTGCATCCTAGCATCCTGACCATGAGATTGGCTAGCCAAACAATAACCCTAAACCCTAAACCCTGAGAGCCCCCGCCTGCCGAAAGCGTCTTGTGTGGCACCCGATCTCGGATCAGGACCTGCAGCATGTGGACTTCATTTCTGAACGACCCCTTGATATACTATTTGCTTAAGAACCCCCCAAAAAATAAAAAATATATTCCTTATAGGGACAATATAGGGATTATCATTTTTTATTTTTTGTGGGGGGATTCTTAAGCAAATAGTAGCTTGATATACTTCTATGTTTGGAGCTCATCTTCCCTTCAAGCTAGGGCGGTGCTGTTCACATTTTCTCCGCTCGCATTGGTTCGGGACGCACCCCAGAAAAATCCTAGTAAACCCTGCTGAACCCTCATGAATCCAAAATGACGAGCCCGACACCCGCCTCGTCGGGAAGCTTCTTTGGCTCGGGACTGATACCCCGGGCTGCTCCCGATGCCTTGAGACTTACAGGGCTTAGGTTTTTATTGGGATTTTGTTGGGGCTCAGGGGTTTAGATGGGGCTTCTGGTATTAAGGTTTGCTTGGGCTTTGGGCTTGCAGGGCTTTTACTGGTGGGTTTGCGAGGTGCCCAATTTATGGAGAACTCCTGCTAGTTAGGGCCTTTGTGTATTGAGCCCCCTAATTTGGTCAGGGTTCAGGGTTGAGGTGTAATAAGTATAACAAGGGTGCCTCAATGGTTCGAACATGGGACATAGTCTACTATAACTCTAGCCAGGGGCCGCAACGACTGCTATTTGTAATTAGCCAAGCTTCTATACTGAGTTGTCCTTTAAGCCCTTTGAAAATTATCTACTATTATGGTTCTCTGCAAAATAGTAGGGGAGATTGAAAAAGATACCCAAGGACAACCCAGTATATTACTTCGAACAAAGAAACCTTCGGCCCTACAACCTCCAACACGGATCCAACCCTAACTCCTGAACCCAAAACACTCCCTTCTGCTGTGAAATTCCAGCTAGTTCCTGGCAGCCTCGTTGGGGAAGGCCTTTAATTCGGTTATGGGGTCTTATACCATGGACCGCAATACCAAACCACCTAGTCGGATGCCTCGTGCAAGGATCTCGCATCGACGAAAGCCCCGGTATATTTGTTCACGAAATCTAGGACTGGTGCGGACACTGGCTAGAGCAAAGATGATCCAGGCGAACATCACGAATTTAGGCATTCGAGAGGATTTGGTACGGTTGATGATATAAATCCTGCATTACCCATAATAAGGAATATACCAGTATTCCCATAGTTTAGGGTCCTTAGGAGTAATGCAGGATTTATATCATCAACAGTAGTAATGATGGTGATGACAAGTCAACCCTTGACCCCCGGACTCCTGAGTACATCCGACTCTTCGGCTTTGGGGTTTAGGGTTTAGGGGTTTATAGAAATTGTTAAGGGTTTCGGTCCCAAAAACGTTTTGAACGAAACGTTTCGCCGAAACGTTTTGACCGAAAGTTTTTTTTGCGAACCATGTTTCCAAATCTCTTGGGGGGGCTGCGAAACGTTTTGAACGAAACTTTGGAGCGAGACGTTTTGACCGTCCTGGGGCTGGGGTTTGGGTAGCAAAAACGTTTTGAACGAAACGTTTTGAACGAAACGTTTTGACTGAAACGTTTTGACCGAAACGTTTTGACCGAAACGTTTTGAACGAAACGTTTTGGACGAAACGTTTTGAACGAAAGTTTTTTTTGCGAACCATGTTTTCAAATTTCTTGGGGGGCTGGGGCTCTTGGGTGCCAAAAACGTTTTGAGCGAAACGTTTTGAACGAAACGTTTTGACCGAAAGTTCTTGTTTGGGCTGGGCTGTGGCTGGGCTGGGCTGCCTGGCTGGGCTGGGCTGGCCTAGGCTGGGTCGGGCTGCTTGGACTGGCAGGTGGGCTGGGTTGCCTGGGCTGAAGGTTGTAGAGAAATTGGTTTATCAAGAAGAATGTTCCGTTTTTGAGCTCCAGCTCAATGTTGGCCGGGCCGTACCGGTGGCTACAAGTTCGTAGAGAAACTGGTTTATCAAGAAGCATGTTCAATTTTTAACTTTTGTGTTTGGCCGTAGCGGTGGTTACAAACAAGGACAAGCAATTTCTATTTATTACTTTCTTGAGGGTTTAGGGTTTAGGCCTTCAGCACTTTTTCCAAGATGCAACTGAAACCTTCCGTTCGCATGCAGACTCACTCCTCCCCGACTTGCCTTCTCCAGGCGCGGGGCCCCCTCAGGACTGGGCTCTCTGGCTTTGAAAGTGACCTCAGCCAAAGAGCAGAGAAGCAATCGGGACTTGATGGTGTGGGGTTTTTGAGGATTTGGGCTTCAGAAGGCTTGGTGCTGAAGGGGTTTGAGGTTTAGGACTTAGACCAGATACCCATAGAGCCCAATACCCCTTAATTAAGGAATATAGCTAAAATCATAGTATGAAGCCCCGAGTGATTTAAGGAATATTCCTTAATTGAGGGGGGGCTCTTGGGTATGGGAGGTTGGACTTCATCAGGGCTCTTTCCGCACCGGTGAGACAACACAGCCGGGTAGTGGCGTGGGGACATAAGGGATAGGAATGACCCAGAGAGCCCAATCCCTTAACTAAGGAATAGTCCTTAAATCATTCGGGGCTTCATATTATGACTTTAGCTTCATTCCTTAATTAAGGGGTGTTGGGCTCTCTGGGGAGGTGCTACGAGTCGGACAAATTGCTCGGAGACGTGTCATCTTGATCAAACCTAACCTGGATGGCTTTCATCGGGCAGGCACTAGGCTCAACGCGGATATGCTTCAGAGGGGTCGGGGTTTAGTGTGTACTGGTTCGGGGTTACGCCGGCTATACATGCAGAAGCATGAACATGTATGCATGCAGGGCTATTAACCAGAACCTTTGCAGCTCGTCGCATGCGATGCATGCCTGTGCTGCTCGAACTCTACTCTACAGGGGCACCCTGGAGGTGCCCCATACTGGCGAATGGCTCTGATATGACGAACACATCGGGAAACAAGCAAGGGAGTTAAGCAGAAGCCCAGTCTTGACATGAAGACCACCGAATACAAACCCTATACAACACGACCCTTGCTTTAAACAACACCTTGAATGAAGAAAAACCCGCAAGAAACTCTCATATTCACCGGAAGCCGGAAGCTTGCTTGGCGAAGGCGACGAGGATGCGATGATCATGTAGACGCAAGACGCAAGATGACCAGCATAAGCATGGCACTACGGCTACCAGTGCTGTTTGATCACCATAACCATCGTATACCATAACACTCACAACACGACTAACCCTCATCAAAGTACGGCTCTGCTGAATATAAGTAAAAACAGCAATCAAGGTAAGAAGAAAGACTCACAATCTGGACACCTGCCAAGGAACAGCCCGAGGTGAAGGCAACATCACTTCCTGCATCAACTCGATTTGAGACTCGTCTGTCTCTATTCTGGGTGATATGACAGGCTTAGACCTTAGAGCAGTTAGATGGCCCCCAACTCAACAACGAATAAAATTGTGTGATAGGAACATCTGAGAACAAAACAGCACCCCGAAAAAAAAAAAAAACAATATTAGGACCCTGATTTTAAACGCGCCCAAGTAGTAGTGAAGGGAGCCGTACTTGAAGGGTTTACGGTTTAGGTCTCCTGAAGAGCATTCTAACAGCTTGAATCCAACTTCTTTGCAATGCAGACTACCTCAGCCCCAAAACGACACCAACCTCTTTATAATAAAACCATAATCAAGAATCCTAGCAAAAGGGTCAAGGTACGGAGCATCCCGCAACTCTGACCGTGATCGACGAGGTAGGCTGCTACGATTACCGAATTGAGGGTTCAAGATATTCAAGCTCTTGGGTCACCCACGAGGTTTGGGTTTAGCGATCAGGTAACTTTGAGGGATTTGGCGTTTGGGGCTGTAAGGGTTGAGGGGTTTAGGATTTAAGAGTTAAGAGCTCAGAGTGGGTTTGGGTGCTTCGGGCTGAGGTACCCCTAAACCCTAAACCCCTAACTCACTAAACCTTAACTAAGCCCTAAGCCCTAAACCCTAAGCCCTGAAGCCTAAACCCCTAAACCCCCAAACCCCTAAACCCTAAAAGCCCCCTAAACCCTAAAAGCCCCCTAAACCCTAAACCCCTAAAACCCTAAGCCCTGAAGCCTAAACTGATGGACCCTAAGCCCCGGAAGCACCTCAGGAGCGACGGCCTGCGGCCCAGATGGAGATGAAGATGCCCGTGTCGATTCCGTCTGCCCTGGAAAGGGTTTAGGGTTTAGGGATTAGGGTTTAGGGTTTAGGGCCACTTTCCGAGTCGGTACGAGTCGCTGGGGGTTTACGCTCTCACAACTCGGACATGCCAGGCGAGGTTCTCGGTGCGGAGTCGGCGTGAAACTGCAACAAAGACTGACTGTAGCGGTTTAGGGCTGCAGGGGTTTACGGGTTTAGGAATTTAGGAGTTTGGGGCTCATAGGGTTTAAGGGTCGTGAAGGGTTTCGGCGCTCACACTCGGACAAGGGTTTAGGCTTCAAGGGGTTTAGGGTTTAGGAAAGCCCGCAGTTAGGCTTTGAAGTCTAGTTGTCTGAGGGTCTGGGCAGGTTTCTCGGGCTTTGGATTGAGTACTTCGGGCCTTATGCTCAACAAACCTTTGTAGTGACCCCTATGGCACTCTTATAGAATTCCACTAGAAGACGCCTTACAGTAATCTTTGTAGAACCCGTATAGGATCCTTATGGCAACCCTTGCATGAAATCCTGTGCAACTAGGAACATCCTGCCACGCTGCTTGCCGAAACCTCCTAGTTCTAGAGGCGGGTTGGTTTAGGGTTTAGGGTTTCCGAAACTTTCAAGGATTGTCGAATTTAGGGCTTAGGTTTAAGGTCTAGTCGGATACTTTGATGGTTTAGCTATGGCTTAAGCTTGCGGTTGGAGCTGATTCCGGTGAACTCCTCCGCCAGCGTGCCCTGTACCCGGAACACCACACCTCGAAACAAATCATCAACATTCCCAGCTGCACGGTTCAATTTGGTTAAGTGCCTGTCAGGTCCTAAGTAAAACTTCAACACTGTAGCAGAGGGGACCTGATCACTATAAGAAGGTTTCGGGGTATATTGTGCTGCAGTCCCTGTAGTCATGACTATGACTATAGTTGTCCCGACCCCGATATTCAGCCTCAAAAGCCCCAGCTTGACTGCATGATGCTTAACCGCAATAGGCTAATCCCTGATGCAGCCAACACAAACCCCTCTACCCGATCCCGTGATCGGAATGCCAGAAGTGTTTAAGCTCCACCCCTGAAATGCAGAATGTCGTAACAGCCTGTGCTGGGCGTTGCAGCTGCTGGCTGAAAGCTGAAGGACGGCCTAGGTCAAGGTCTGCTGCGATTGCCAATTCGAATCCAAGTGTGATTTAGAGGGACCCCCCTAAGCGGGGATGGCAAATAGAGTTTGCCAGCAGAAACTGATGGTTGGATAGCAAGGCCTGCCAAGCATTGGCAGGAGCTGGCAAGCCTTACTAGCGCCTAGCCAGCCTTAGTAGTTTGGTTTGTTCGTGAGGCTTGCAAAGCCTTGGTAAGGCCTAGTAAGAACTACGTAGCACACCGAGGCACGACGTTGGTTTTGAGCGCTCGTGAGCGCTGCTGAGCGATAGTGAGTGCTAGTGAGTGCTGGTGAGGCCATGTCAGTTTACACCGGGGTGAATCCAAACCAACTATCCTCAGAAACCTTTGCTAGCAAACGCAATTTGCCATCCCCCCTCAGGGGGGTCCCTCTAATTCATAAGTCAGTCAAACGGGATGCTGCACTCGGCGAGTTTAAGCCTAACGCCCCCAAACCCCAAGCTCTAAATCCGAAAAGCCCCGAAACCCTAATACAGCTTCTTTCTATCGTGTGAAGCTTATACGCCCCCTTAAACACAAGTTCAAACATCCGCCCAGGGAGTCCTAACTCCAGAATTTGGCCAAAACTCGCAGCTTACCTTTTGTTAGGAGGGAACGGAACAATGGTGGTAATAGTAGTTATAACTGCACCCCCTTTCCTCCATTCCCTACTAACCAAAGGTAAGCTATAGGATTACTAAGGCCCCTATAATATAGTACCCTTATAGATCCCTTATAGTAACCCTTATAGACCCTTTCATAAGGCCCCTTCCATTCCCGAGGAAAGCTAGGGCCAGAGCCGATCCTCGTTGGGAGAGAAGAGGAACTGAATGAAATGCTCGACGTCCTTGGGTTCGCTGTGTGGGTTGCACAGGGCGCTGTATAGTAAGGTTTCACAAGGAGTTAGAAGGCTCGATAGGGTGTCGTTCGATCGTTTCGAAGGACGAGCTCCACAGGCTGCTTGGGGCTTCTGTCTCCGGGCGCAAGGTTTTGCACTTCGAAATGCTTCGAGTCCAGGGCCCGGTGGGTGGGGGGGTTGAGGTGAGGGGTCCTGAGTTGTCAGCGTTCCGATGGACGGTCGGGTGCGCACTCGACCAACCAGTTTCTGGGCCCCTCAAACCTCAGGATCACCACTACCATGGTCACCTTCCCCTGGGCATGAAAATAGCCCAAAAGCTTTATATAATATGGTCCTTGGGCCCAAAAGCCTTGATGTATGAGTCCTTAGATGCCTAGGGTTCTGGAGCCAGAATCATAGCCAGTTGCATCAAAAGAATGGATCTGAATCCGCACCCACTGCGCTCGATTTCATGAGAGGAAGTTGGAACACACAACGGGAGCGTCGTGACCACATCCGCACCCCTCGTGAGATCCGCTCGGCAGCTCTTAGCCACAAACACCAGCATATGGTGTTTAGGGCTTTGGGATTTAGCGGCTTTGGGTTCAGATGCTAGTAGGGTTTGAGGATTTATGAGGTTAAGATTTAGGAGCTCACCCAGCGGTTTCGGGTTTGCAGCTCAATGGGTATTGGCACCAGAAGTGTAGTGCAGTTGCTCCTGCGTGCGGCCTATCTCGAATCCACAGCCTGTGTTTTCAGAGCCAGGCACACACCCAAAATCAACGCGCAAATCAAGAAGCCAATCCGTGAAACACAAACCGCAAAACCTTACCTGCTAAGCCGCAGGCAACTTAAACCGAAAAACCCAAGGGGCCAACTGCAGAAACCTGAGTATTTGCTAGTACTGTTCCTTGTCATAGATACACCAAAATATGCACTAGTCTAATCATCAATGCCCGTATACTTCATCCCTTCCAGCAACCTTTTGGAACTGTTAAACCCTAAACCCTAAAAACCCTAAACCAAACCCTGTTCAAAACCACCCATCGAGGCCTAAGACAAGAAGACCGAGCCGGGCGTCAATGCGGTCCGCATGAAATCCTTGCTCGCCAGGGCGGAGCATGCTCAAAAGGGAGTTTCCGAAAGTAGGAAGGTTTAGGGGTTGAGGGTTTAGGGGTTTAGGCGTTTAGGGTTTGGGAGGGAGCTTCCGAAAATAGGGGACCCTCATATATTAGCCTAAATAGTAGGAGTCTTCTTATACGGACCCCAAAATACGGTACCGCTAGGTTTCGGAAATTCCCAAGACGGTTTGGGGTTTGGGGGCTTAACAGCCCAATATCGCTCAAAAACCCTAGACCCTGAATCCTGTATTCTCTGAACTCAATGTACTGAATACCCGACACCCTAAATCGTATGTGCTAAAAGCCCTAAAGCCCTGTAGGATCCTTATTATAAGGACTCCCAAATGAGGTACCCCCAATCTTCGGAAAGTCCCATATTAGAACTGGAATAGAATACTAAGAGAATGACATTGCAGTTTCATCATAGGTATACCAATGCTGTGTTACAGTCGCACTATAGCATTTCAGAAACGTCCGCGCATCGGGAATCAAAGTTGTTCAGTTGAGAATTACAAGGTCCTTACAGTTTTACAATACAGTAGCTGGGATTAGAAGATTCCAAGAACCGCAAGATCTAGCAATGCGTCTGCTTGCATGACGATCCAAGAAACGGTCTACGCCCTCCAGTAGCAGTTCCACGTCCGCGTCGCTGATCTGCAGGCGCTGGAGGACCTTTTGAGCTTAAAGGTAAGGTTTCGTGCTCTCAAGGGTTTTAGTAGGGCCTTCCCATTCCCCATGATTTCAAAGCCGTGACAGGATATATGCTTCTTAACATCTAAATTGTCACCTTTTGCTAGGGGCGCAACCTCCAAAATCCTAAACCCCTAAATCTCAAGGGCTCAATATACGTTGGAGTTCCGGGCTTGAGGAACAAGAAATAGCAATCATGTCCCCAATGAAGACCTTCATGTTCACATCAGAGCTTTGGGTATATTCAATGACACACCTCATGTCTTGTATTTGGCCAAAGGGCTCAGACCTGCGGATTGATTCTAACATATTCTAACTCAGTGCCCTATGCACTCGGGTCTTGGGGTTTAGGGTTTACAGTAGGGCACAGGAGTCTCGGGGCAGGAGACCTGAGCAAGCCTCCAACTCGAAAGAGCCAAAGCCCTTAAACAACAAATGTCCGGCTCCCCTTTTGGGGGTTCCTTTTTTTGCAAAGGTGCCGTACTATTTGGGGACGTACAAAGGACGCTAATTTGGAGATCTACCCACACGTTTGCCCAATCCTCTTCTCCGCAGCTCCCCAACTACAAGCCTGTGCATGCCGAAGTGCAGCAGAAACATCCCTGGCCTCAACCCATTTTGTAGATCTATGGCTGGGTTTACTGTACCCTTAAACACCCCCTGTAGGCCGTTATCCAAAAAACGAAATGCGACACCCTGAAATACGAAATTCCAAGCCGCAGCCTTTACACCCAGACCCAAAAACAAAAAAAGAGCCGCAAAACTCTAAACTACAAAACCCGACACCCTAAACGCGAAACCTTAACTTCGAGGCTTATAACTGACCATGAATCAAGGGAGCCCTCATAGAACTTTCAATGAACCTCATGGAGGAGCCTAGCGGGACCGGCATGAACCCCTTAGAAGAACCTCTAACGAAACCCTTGAATCAACCCTGCTGAATTCCTTAGAGGAACCTTTATGATACCCTGAAAGGAACCCTTAGGCCCTAAACCCTCAATGATACACTGAAAGGAAGCCTACTGTAGCAAGCCCTCTCTCCCCTCCCCCTCTCCCGGAGCCTTCAGTAGCACTCCCTTGTGAATCAGCCCAGCCTGGCAACCTCGGGCGAAGGCTACTTCCCAGACCCCCCCGGGAGGATCCAAAAAGTAGATCCCTTAATGGGAGTTCCTGTAAAGTACCCTTAGTAGTATGGGGTCCCAGAAAAGGGATCTACTTTCAAGATCCTCCCGGGGGTTTGCCCGGTAGCGTTGTTTGGGGTTTAGAGAGGGTATCGGCACTCACACTCGGACAATCCAGGGGAGGCATGTGGTTCGGAGTCTGTTGAGTGAATCGCATCTAGGGGGAGTTGCGCTTTCAGTTTGGGTATTCTATAGGGAGGGTTTAGGATTTTGGGGTTTAAAAGTTCAGGGCCGTGGATCACCTAATCGTGCGCCGTATACTGCATGCTGAAGGGTACTGAATAGGACCCGTTCGGGAATCTACTGATTGAATTCTCAGCTGATTCGAAGTGCACGTGGAGACTACAGATTAGAGTTGGAGCTAGGATCTGTAGAGTATAGAGTGTTGGTGGGTCAGAGTCTAGATCTCTGGGGACATCCTCTTCAATTTCCAGGGAAGTACACCTGCATCCTCAATTTTGGTCATTGCCTTCATTCCGTTACCCTTTCAGTAGATACGTCTTGGGGTATCCTGTGGTATGATTGCGCATTGGTTCGAGGTTAGTTCATTTCTGTTTGCGCTTGGTTGATTTGAACTGATACAACAAGAGAACGGAGCAACCCCATGCTAAACCCTACGAGCTCTACGGTAAGGATCCTGTTTGAAAAAGGATCCGAACTGCAGTGAACATGTTGTAAGTTCCTAAACCCCAACTCCTAGACCATAACTTCCGATAGTGACATTGAAAGTTGTAAGTCCCTTAAAACCCTGAAGGGGGCCTATCATAATTTGGGGAAGAACGGACTCGGTTGAAGTACTTCAGACACCTTCCACTACTTTGAGAAGTCCCAGCCACAACCTGAAAACAAAATCACGGTAAGCCCAATGACTCTCTTCTTCAACAACCGGGCCCCCAAAAGTTCAAACTTTCTGAAATAGAACTAATATATAAGGCCAAAAAGTTTAAAGTCTATCTAAGATGAGTGTCACTGGACAGGACCGACATCATCCCCGAAGTCGGGGAGAGAAAAAAACGAGAAAGTCGAACTTCGAAGAACCGCCCAAGGCCCGAGGCCGGAGGCAGTTTCCGCAAGATAGAACCGTGATAAGACAATGTGACTAGAATAGGGTTTGGGGTAGATCATACTATGACTATAATAAGGAACCCCAACAATGGTATAGGCAATTAGGAGGGCCTCTATACTATCTGACGACTCAAGTGGGGGAAAGCGACTTGCAAGCCGGAGGGTTTCGACGAGCCGTTTGGCAGTGGCGTCCCCATCCATCGGGCGCTTTGGGAAGCAACGGTGCAACAGGCTAGAAACGGAAGCCCTGCACAGAAGTCTGGTGAAAGATGCTTCCGGTTATACCCAGCTGTAGTTGCTGAGCTCCCCGATCCAAACTAGGTTAAGCCGCCAGTTTGGGTAGGGTTTCAATCGAACGTTATCCTGAATCAGTATCAACTTCAATCCGGGCGGTGGAGGCCTCGAAGAGAAGACTCTTGAACAACATCTCCCAATGAGGGGGTAGGTTTCGATAGCTTATGTTTAGCTGCTTAGCTGTCTGCGCGTTCACCGTGAAGTCTTCAATTGAAGGAAGCATGGTATCTCATGTTACAGCCTAAACAATCCCAAAACCAGTAGCAAGGCTCTGGTTTAAAGAGACACTTTAAAGGGATCTCTAAGGGTTCGATATAAAGGGATCTCTAAGTACAGTTATGGAAGGAAAGGGAATTTGCTGCATTGCTGTTGCTGCTATTGGGGGCAAGACGAGCGCCTGTGGACCAAGCGTAGCAGCGGTAAGAAGAAAGCAGGCAGAAAAAAAGCGGAAGGCGTCTTGCTTTTTTGCAGTCGCAAGTTGTAGCACGTTTTCTGCTAAACTTGACTAGAATTCGCCTTAGAATCTTTGTGATCACTATGACACTCAGGACCCAGCGCAGGACCCTGCTGCGGGGGCCTAAATTGCTAGAATAAGGTTTTGGGGCCCATAATACTGCAATTATAACCAGGAACCTCCAAAATAGTATATTAGGCATCTATTTAAGCCCCTAAAGTAGGCTCGTTGAACCAACACTTTTGAACTTGTCAGCTGCCCAGCTCTATAGGCTGCATCTGCAGATGGCGCTGTCCCGTCCTAGGCACCATACCCGAAAGCCCAACCCCTACGAAGCCAGACAGGCACGACCAAAAAACACTCATGCTGGTACGTTGAGTTGAACTGTCGAGTCGCGGGAGCCTTTGGGAACAGCGGAGACTTCGAGACAAAGTCTGAAAACCTCACCCCCAGAAACAAATGGGGCTACTACATCACGAGAGCTCCGAAACCACTGTGGGGGTTTCGAGCGCTAAGACGCTGAGTCTCAATCGGCTTTAATGCAGCGAACCTGAACCCCATGTTGCAGAAAGGGTCCCGCGTTGGGGAATGTAGGACTTGTATGCTAACCCCATCTAACAAAAAGGCTTTGGGTTGCCCCGGAAGGTTCCGAGGTTCGGGGGCCTATGTAGTGTTTCTACCCAAAGGCTCGAAAGTAGTTCCTTTTTGGGGTTCATATTTTAGAATTCTATAGGGTAATCCCACAAAGGAACTACTATGGGTATTTGCATAGCCGAGTCCTTGGTCATTCAGTCAGGCTTCCAAATTGAAGAGTCAAGCAATGAAATCTCCTGTCTTTTACCCCAAGCCACCCCGGAGTCCTGGAGATACGTTTCAATCGGAAGATATGGTGCGTCTGCTTCCGGAATTTTGGAGTTTTAGGGTTCAGGATTTAGGCCTTGGGGGTTTAGGATTTCAGGCTTGGGTCTTCCAACCGCAAAAAGAGTCGGATTAGGATTTTGCAGTGCTTTAGAGTGCAAGGAGCTGTTATACGGTACTTTACCGGGAGCCCACAGTAGACTTATGAGGCCACCAAAACTGTTGCAGGCGCTGGGGCTTGGGCCAAAACACCTGAACCCCAAACAACTTTTTGCAGCTCGGCTCTTACTCTAAAACCCTTACCCTAAAACCCTAAAACCCAGAGAGCCCAATACCCCTTAATTAAGGAATATACCTTAAATCATTAGGGGCTTCATGTTACGTATGATTTAAGCTATATTTCTTAATTGTGAGGGATATTGGGCTCTCTCTCTCTCTCTCTCTCTCTCTCTCTCTTTCAACAACCGGGCCCCAAGAAGTTCAAACTTTCTAAGATAGAGGTAATATATAATATAAGGCCAAAAGTTTAAAGTTCCCCCGTTCGCTATCTAAGCTCCCTGGGTAACACCCCAAGACCTTCAAGCCCAGGGCCTGCAGCACTGCTCTGTGCTCGTTCACGTAGCCTGAGCTGCAGCTTCATCCCCAACGTTCACCCCGACATGAGCTCTCATCCATAGGGTTGTGGGTTTGGGGTGTGTTTAGGGGTTTAAGGTTTAGGGGTTTAGGGGTTTAGGGTTTAGGGGTTTAGGGTTTAGGGGTTTAGGGTTTAGGGGTTTAGGAGTTTAGGGTTTAGGGGTTTAGGGTGTAGGGGTTTAGAGTTTAGGGTGTTTTTTTTGAAAGCCCCTTTTCGTGACTGCAGACCAGCTCCGAAAGCCCGACTTAGCGAGCAGCTTACTAGCTTCGGCAAGCACAGAAAACTACGGCGAGTACCGTACGACTCCCCTCACAGCGAAAACTGTACACCCCTCTCATTCGTCACCCTGGTTGCCCTCCACCTTCCGTTTCACACCTCTTTCCTCCTCCGTTTGCGACTGACTTTCCACCTGCACCACTTGCACCGCTTCCATTGACCCGGCTGCTCCACCAGACTCACGTCCTTCCACCACCCCTCCGTTCTCGGCTGCCAGCTGGTGCCTCAACACCAAGGGTTTAGGGATTAGGGGTTTAGGGTTTAGGGGTTTAGGGGTTTATGGCTTAGGGGTTTAGGATTTAGGGGTGTAGGATTTAGGGGTTTAGGGTTTAGGGGTGTAGGGGTTTAGGGGTTTAGGGTTTAGGGGTTTAGGGCTCAGCAGCTCTGCCTTTGAAGATTTCAGGTCAAGCTATTTCAAGTCAAGCTATCTTCTTGCACCTTGCACCTTGCAGCTCGCCTCTTGCACCTTGCACCCTCGCCTCTTGCACCCTCGTCCCTTGGCATGCATCCTCGCTCCTTGCACCTTGCACCCTCACCCCTTGCACCTCGCTTCTCACCTTGCATCCTAGCTCCTTGCCTCTCGCCTTGCACCCTCACCCCTCGCATCTTGCACCCTTGCACTTGCACTCTCGCCTCTTGCACCTTGCACCCCTGCTCTCGCCCCTTGCACCACAAGTTTTTGGTCAAGAGCCACGAGTTGTGATCAAGAGGCCCGAGTTTTGATCAAGAGCCCCGAGTTTTGGATCAAGAGCCACGAGTTTTGATCAAGAGCCACGAGTTTTGATCAAGAGCCACGAGTTCTGATCAAGAGCCACGAGGTTTTGATCAAGAGCCACGAAAACTATAAGGTTTAAATTACTATAGGTAGAGAGCTTTAGGGTTTAGGGATTTAAGGTTTAGGGGTTTAGGGTTTAGGGGTGTAGGGTTTAAGGGTTTAGGGGTTTAGGGTCTAGAGGTTTAGGGTTTAGGGGTTTGCGGGTTTAGGGTTTAGGGGTTTAGGGGCTTGGGGTTTAGGGGTTTAGGGTTTAGGGGTTTAGGGGTTTAGGGTTTAGGGGTGTAGGGGTTTAGGGGTTTAGGGTTTAGGGGTTTAGGGTTTAGGGGTTTAGAGGTTTAGCGTTTAGGGGTTTAGGGTTTAGGGGTTTAGGGGTTTAGGGGTGTAGGGGTGTAGGGGTTTAGGGTTTAGGGGTTTAGAGGTTTAGCGTTTAGGGGTTTAGGGTTTAGGGGTTTAGGGGTTTAGGGGTTTAGGGTTTAGCGGTTTAGGGTTTAGGGGTTTAGGGTTTAGGGGATTAGGGGTTTAGGGTTTAGGGGTTTGGGGGTTTAGGGGTTTAGGGGTTTATGGGTTTAGGGTTTAGGGGTTTAGGGTTTAGGGTTTAGGGGTTTAGGGTTTAGGGGTTTAGGGTTTAAGGGTTTAGGGTTTAGGGGTTTAGGGTTAAGGGGTTTAGGGGTGTAGGGTTTAGGGGTTTAGGGGTTTAGGGTTTAGGGGTTTAGGGGTTTAGGGGTTTAGGGTTTAACCCCCGATGCCCTAAGTCCTTAACCTCACCCCTAAAACCCCCAAACACTAAACCCTACAGCCTAGACCGCTACAGCCTAAAATCTTGTTTTGCATCCAGGCCTTTTGCGACTGCCGGGTACCCTTGAAGAAAAGAAACTGATGGCCTTAAAACCCGCACCCCTGAATCCTAAACCCCAGACCCCTACCCAAAGGCCCAAAGTAGTTCGTTTTATTTTGGGGTTCATATATAGAATCCTATAAGCTATCCCAAAAAGGAACTACTATGGGGCCTCTGGGTAAAGCCCAAACGCACGAGAAGGGCTTCAAGGTTTAACGTAGGGGCCTCAATAATTAGAATAGGGTTTTGGGGTATATATTTTCCTATAATTCTAAGAAGGAACCACCAAAATAGTATTGGTAATTATTTAGGACCCTATAATAGCTAGTCGGACCTCTTCTTTCATGTCATCAGAACCTCGAAGGCTGGGCTTCCCCCCCAAAAAAAAACGGGCCGGGCTTTGGGGCCGCAATACCCCTGGGGATCGAAATAGCCCAAAAGCCCTACATAGTATGGTCTTTGGGCACAAAAGCCTTAATATATAAGTCCTTAGATCCCTAGGGTACCATGAATGTAATAAGGAGCCCGCAGAATAGTGCGTAAAGGTAATTAGTATAAGGCCCCTATCGCTATACCATGATTATAATTACTATAAGGAGCCAGCAGAATAGTACGTACAGGTGTAATTATTATAAGGCTCCTATAGTAGGGGTTTCGACCGTCACTCTCGCACGTAGCTGGCGAGGCTCCACATATGTCCGTCAGGCTACAGCACCAGGCATGAATCTGCTCAAACGAAAAATAGAACTTCATACCCAGTCCCGCCATCCTCAAAGCTGGGTTGTTGATACCCGCCACACAGCCGGCCGAGCGAACAAATTCAGCCGACCAGTCAGCCTTAACTTACGCATGTGGGCGTGAATTTCCCTCGCAAACTCCTGGTCAGCTGTCCGCGAATGCGGTTTTTCCACGAGTCGAAGATGATCCTTCTGAACAACGCCTTCACGTAGATTTCATGGAGCTTGGCGGCTCCTTCAAGGGCTCTGGTTTCTGAATCCTGTACACCCTTTACGTAGGGGTTTCGGTTTCAGGGTTAAGGTGCTTAGCGCAGAAAGTTCTTGAAGGAGGAAGGTTTGGATGCCCCGTGAAACCCGCTATCAGGGACTATTAGCAGTCATCTAAACAAGGCTTCCCTAATGAGGGTCCGGTATACCTTCAAGCTCTGAATCACACACAGAGCCCTGTCGCCTGATTTATATAACTCTCTCAATCAATCGAGCCAGCAAACTCTGCCAACCCAAAGCCCAGAATCCAGCCCTTGGCCAAAGTCCGCTCACTCTTGCAAGCGCAAAAACTAATGCGTAGCACATGAAACGAAGCAATAGGAACAAGGGGGCAGTACAAGCAGTTCCAACTCTGTGTGTAGTCGTCGTAGTAGAGTTTGCGCGACTTTTTGTCTGTCAGCATTGTGAGTGTGCTTGTGAAGGCATGAACCGTCGTCCGCCGTAATCTTAGCATACGCAACGGAAATCGACAGGACTGGGGTGAGAGCATGTGCGCCTGTCTCGCCGGATGCAGCATAAAATTAGAGACGTGGACTTTTGGCAGCGTCTATTGAAAACACTTCTTGGTCCCTTTTTGCAGCAATTTTGTAAAACCTTTGATTCCATAAAGGAACCCTTACAGATGTTCGAGTATTTGCAGCCACAAGGGCATTAGCTGAATGTGCTTTTGCCCTTAGTCTCGCTGCCGGTGCTGTGCGTGTGTGCGTGTTTGGTCGACCCCCTCCCCCCAATGCCCCGCCTCTCTGAGCCAGTGTCCCCCGCTTAGTACTTCGGTGAGAAATCATCGAGGGAAGAGCTTTGTTCCTGCGATGTGGGCTGTCTTGCCAAGTGTCCAATTCCAACCCAAGCCGCCCGGCTTGGGGGGGCGGGCCCATGGAGGTTCGGGTGGCACATCCCTCCTCTAATCCCCGGCCCGGATCGAGGGGCCCGGAGCGTTGAACTCTGCACCGGAGCCCCGATGACGCATGCGGAGGGGCAAAGAAGGCGAGAGGGACCGTTTCCGTAGGCCGGAGAGCACCCCAGGTCGACACTCACTCACTCACTCACCCAGTCACTCACTCACTCACTCACCCTTACACAGTGGGTTGTTTGAAGATAGGTGAGATAGGTGAGATACTATCCAGGTTATAAACCATTTATAAGTGACTTCGGCATGGTCTAACTCGTTTCTATCTCTATCTCAAGATACTATCTTCGACGGAAGATGGCAAAAGATAAAAGACTTAGAACGGACTTAGAAAAGATAGCTGCGCCAACAAGGTGAAGAAGTAGTGTATGGCCAGAAGAGAAAGAAAAAGATAAAAAACTATAAAAAAAGATAAAAAATAAAAAAGATAAAAAAAGATAAAACAAATAAAACAGAGATAGCAGGAGTATCAACAGACGGCGCTTTGACGAGTCCGTGCATGTAGTTTTTTTCGTGCACCTTCCGCGAGGCTTGAAGAGGCAATGCGAGACCAGACTGCACGATCCCAGAAGAGATGCTCTGATTGGCGTTTCTATACTGGCCGGCACAGCTTACGAAGTGCACGTCCTTTCTGCACACGTGGAAAACGCCGAGCCCTTCTTTGAGGCCAAAAGCCCGCTGGAGCTTGCACACATCCTTCCTAAACCCAGAAGGCTTATGCCCGAAGCCTTGAATCTTGAAGCGGAAGTGAAACAGATTGCAAGACACTCTCTTGCAGCTGTCCGCTGTGCCTGTATTGGGGGGTCCTGCCAGCAGCAGCAGCAGCAGCAGCAGCAGCAGCCTACTAGGTCTCAGAATCTGCCAGCGGGCAAAACCTTCTGGCCTCCAGGGTTGAGGCCCAGATGAGGCACTACACGCACTACCCTGCACTACCCGGCCCCAGCTGGCCCAGATTCGTAGAGGGCTCCAGGCACTACTCTCTTTCAGGCTCCCAAGGCCGAGGGGCGCACTACACCACACTACCTTCCGCGAGGGTCCCCAATAGGGTCCAGCAGCTCTTCTTCACTGCTTGGTCTGTGTGGCTCAAGTCCCGGCAGCAGCATCTATAGGTCTTGTCCCCCAGCAGCTCAGACTCCTACCGTGCCGGCCAAGCATGGCCGCTACAGACCCGAGCACTCGGGATTGCCATCGTAGGTATAAGTACCTGAAATCAAGCCCTTCCTATCTTTCACAGGAGACGCAGCTGAATGCTGAGCAAGCTGGCGAGGAAACTGCCACCCAGTTGCTGGGCCTTGCGCCCGACGCTGATGCGCTTCCGGCTGCAAGCCTGCCTTCCGAAGCGAGCTGAGGCAGTCCCTGGTGCACGGCTGCAGCTGCAGCTCACTCAGCCTTGCGGAAAGTGCCGCAAAGTTTGACGTGTTTGTGCTTTCCACGTTCGGTATCTTTTGAGCCTACTGGTTTTCCTTAAATCAGATAAAAAAAGATAGAAAAAGATAGAAAAAGATAAAGAAAGATAGAAAAAGATAAAAAAATATACTAAAAAATAAAACAGATTTAACTTATCTCACTTTTATCTTTTTTTATCTCTCCTTTCTCTTTCTTTCTCACCTAAGTCAAACAACCCACTGTGTACAGA